CAAATAGTGGGCAGTTTTCATAAGGGCCTTGGATGGGTCACATGTCCCTTCAGTCTGCCTTTATAAGCAGCCTTCAGTGAGAGACTTTTACAAGCCCTTAAAATGGAGGCAGCTGACCTCCTTCCTCCTGAGGGTCCAAGGACTCCAGTCTGCCTCTCCACCGGCCACTGGAGCCATGCAAGGCCACACGTCGTGATCCCCTCACAGGACTGGAGTGTTTGAGTTCAAGCAGGGAAAGTGGAGGAAGGAATGTCATTTGTCCTCAGAGGCCAACTATTCCGTGTAGGATCTTGTAGAAGTCATTCCAGCTTCCATGTTCTCTTTGCTTCCTGACCTTTTTTTTTTTTTTTTCTTTTTTGAGACAGAGCCCCACTGTGTTGTCAGGCTGGAGTGCAGTGGTGCATTCTTGGCTCACTGCAATCTCTGCCTCCCCTGTTCAAGCGATTCTTCTGCCTCAGCCTCCCAAGTAGCTGGGACTACAGGCATGTGCCACCACACCCGGCTAATTTTTGTATTTTTGGTAGAGACGGGGTTTCAGCATTTTGGCCAGGTTGATCTCAATCTGACCTCGTGATCCACCCACCATGGCCTCCCAAAGCGCTGGGATTACAGGCATGAGCCACTGCACCTGGCCCATTTTCTTACTTTCCTTTCTAGTCTATTTAATTGCTTGATAATTGTTAAACCAACAGATGGCCGGGAACAAAGGAATTGCCAGTCAAATTCATTGCCTAAAAAGTCATTCTTTTAAAAAGTTTAATGTGGGGAATAAAGTTTTCTAGAAGGAGAATCCATCAGTTTGTCCTCTGTGGATGAAGAAGAATTGGCAGTGCGTAAACCCAACAGACTGGAATCCAAATGATGTCTATCTGCGTCGCTTCACATGACATGTCCCCACCTTGAAGTTCATCACATGTGAATGGTGACCCCCAGGGACCTAAGTCTAATCTCTTGCAGCATGTGTGGTCACTCGTGTGCCAATGGGTTGGGATGAGGATATCTCAAGCCTGGACCATCGACTAATCTTGAATATTCCACAAGTGGAATATTCTCTCTCTCAGATCCTCCTTATTCTTTGAGCTGGTGGCTGGAGAAGAATCACTGTATTTTTGTATCATTCCAGTCTGTGGGTGATTCAAAGCCTTATCTTGTAAGAATAATGAAAAGGTTGTTCCCCATCAGACTATTTATCATGAAATATGGTAAGAAAAAAGATGAATATTTAAGTCTACATTGTCATTGGATGGCTTGCTCTTGCAGGTATTCATTCAAATCAATGAGCAAATACTTTTTTGAGCACCTAACAGTTGCTAGACACTGCTAGGTTTTGGAGGATAATTTCTATAAATGTTGAAAACTGATTATTGAGAGACAGGTCATGTTTTTTGTTTGTTTGCTTTGTTTTTTGAGATGGAGTCTCACTCTGTCACCCAGGCTGGAGGGCAGTCGTGCCATCTCAGCTCACTGCAACCTCCGCCTCCTGGGTTCAAGCAATTCTTCTGCCTCAGCCTCCTGAGTAGCTGGGATTACAGGCATGTGCCACCACGCCTGGCTAATTTTTGTATTTTTTTTAGTAGGGATGGGGTTTCACCATGTTGGTCAGGCTGGTCTCAAACTCCTGACCTCGTGATCCGCCCGCCTCGGCCTCCCAAAGTGCTAGGATTTCAGGCGGTGAGCTTCCTCACCCAGCCCAGGTCACATTTTTTAAAAATAACTAATTGTACAAGATTATGCCAGATGCCTTGAAGATGATATAAACCAGAAGCCCTGGAGAAGTTTGAAAGAAACCCCAGACTTAGGCAATCAAGGAAGACTTCACAAAAATAAGACTTGAACTCAGCCTTGGACAATGACTGAACATTCAGACAAAGGGATGGAGAGACGGTTCTCTAGTTCCAAGGAGGAGAGGCAGCATGAGTGAAGGCCAGACACACGCCATACACATGGTGTACTTGCAGGAGGCTGAGCCCCAAGAGAAGACCCACAGAGTTTGGGGGCATTTTCAGAGGCAGGAAGGAAGTGGTTGCAGCTTAAGATAATTTGACACATTCCGGTTGACCAGACATGCACACATTCTCCTCATGAGGTAGATCTTGTGGCATTTTCCAGATACAAAAAGTCAACTGGTGTCGGGCACAGTGGCTCACGCCTGTCATCCCAGGACTTTGGGAGGCTGAGGCAGGTGGATTGCCTGAGTTCAGGAGTTTGTGACCAGCCTGGGCAACACAGTGAAACGCCGTCTCTACTAAAATACAAAAGAATAGCTGGGCGTGGCAGCATGTGCCTGTAATCCCAGCTACTCAGGAGGCTGAAGCAGGAGAATTGCTTGAACCCTGAGTGCGGAGGTTGCAGTGAGCCGAGATCACACCACTGCACTCCAGCCTGGGCGACAGAGTGACACTCTGTCTCAAAAAAAAAAAAAAAAAAAGTCAGCTGGGGAAAATGAATGCATAGAGAGCCAGTTCTGTAGACTGGGAAGTGCAGACATGGGTGAGCCCCCAGGGTGGGTGCTGTAAGGGTTGGAGGAGGACCCCCCGTCCCACCTGGTGTGTGGTATGGGAAGACTTTCTGGAGTAGAGACATGAGAACTGAGTCCTGCAGGATGGGCTGGGGAAGAAGGAAGGGAAGGGCATACTGGGACGAAGGAACAGCATGAGCTAAGGAACAGAGGTTTGAAACATCGTGGTACCTGTGGGGCATTATCAGGCATGGGCAGAGATGACATTGGCACCCAGACCTTCTGTTTCCTGATCTTGTGTTCTAGTCAGAACAGAATTTATCCTAGCTTTCTGGAAGAAGTTGCTCCTGTTATTTTACTTACAATACTCTCTTCCCTTTATTTATTTACTTATTTGTGAGACGGAGTCTCACTCTGTTGCCCAGGCTGGAGTGCAGTGGCACGATCTCGGCTCACTGCAAGGTCCGCCTCCTGGGTTCCTGCCATTCTCCTGCCTCAGCCTCCTGAGTAGCTGGGACTACAGGCTCCCGCCACCACGCCTGGCTAATTTTTCGTATTTTTTAGTAGAGACGGGGTTTCACCGTGTTAGCCAGGGTGGTCTTGATCTCCTGACCTTGTGATCCATCCACCTTGGCCTCCCAAAGTGCTGGGATTACAGGCATGAGCCACCACGCCCGCCCTATTTGTTTATTTTTTCTTGAGACAGAGTCTTTCTGTGTCACCTAGGCTGGAGGGCAATGGTGCGATTTCAGCTCACTGCAACCTCCACCTTCCGAGTTCAAGTGATTCTCCTGCCTCAGCCTCCCGAGTAGCTGGGATTACAGACACCTGCCACCACGTCTGGCTAATTTTTTGTATTTTCAGTAGAGACGGGGTTTCACCATGTTGGCGAGGCTGATTTGGAACTCCAGACCTCAAGTGATCTGCTTGCTTTCACCTCCCAAAGTGCTGGGATTACAGGCTTGAGCCACTGCGCCCAACCCTTTCATTTATTTTTTGTACTTTTCCTATATTCAGAGCAAGGTAATAAAAAGATAAAGTTCATGGAATTTTTTTTTCCAACTGGAGATTCTTAGAAAGAGGAAAAGCAGGCTAAAGTTCTTCAGGTGGTCACTATTCTAAGGCAGGTCCAAAAGGCTTCCCTGTAGCCACAGGTGTGGGCTTTGTGTAGAGAGATTTTTTTTTTTTTTTTTTGTTTTTTCTTGTGCAAAAGGTGCAGTTTGAGTGAAGCCTCAAAAAGGGGTTGGAAGCCACTTGTGTGTTTTCTCTTTCCTTTGTTGGGGGTTTAAGCATGTACTAAGAGGAGCAAGCGTTTTTAGACAATGATGCATACAGATTTTGTTTCTCATTATCCACAGTCCTTAGCACACATGTCACACGGCATCAGCCACCAGGGACATGCAGTGGGGTCAGTTGGGTCTGTTCCATGTGAATTTACTCCATAAAGTGATTCTAGGACTGTCTTCTCCAGGACGATGGGCTGACGTTGGATACAGAGAGCAGGGAAAGGAAAGAGTAAATTCTTCAGCTTGGTTTTCCATGGCTTTGCCCCACTCTTCCAACACCAACCTCCAAGACGTGGCCCCCAGGGCTCTCCCTAGCCTCATGGCTTTCCACTCACAGGACACTAAGACGCTGGGGTCCTCCCTCACCACAGGGCCTTTGCACAGGCTGGTCTTTCTGCCTGGAAAGTGGTTCCCTTCTGAGGATCTCTTGCCTCAGCCTTCCAGAGTGCTGGGATTAAAGGCATGAGCCACTGCCCCCAGCGGTAAGTTTAACATTTTAAGACACTGTGTGTGGTTTGCTTTTCACTCCAGCAAGATGTGATGAGGATTGCTAACATGTTATCAAGTGTGCTTTCAGTCTTTCAGGACAAAAGACAGTTGGGAGTGTGGTGGAAAGGCAGTTCAGGACAAGAAGGAGAGTTCTGATTACATTTTCGTTTCAGTGTTTCCCTGAGAAACAGCAGGTCTCAATCCCTTCACTTTCCAGTTCCTATTCTCCCCCTCACACCACACAGTATCCACTGCTGACTCGGTATCCCCTACATAATCCCACTGGGTTCTTCAGTACTGAAAAGCTAGTAATAAGGTGAAGGTGGCCGGGTACAGTGGCTCGCGCCTATAATCCCAGCACTTTGGGGGGCTGAGGCGGGCGGATCACGTGAGGTCAGGAGTTTGAGACCAGCCTGACCAACATGGTGAAACCCCGTCTCTACTAAAAATACAGAAATTAACCTGGCGTGGTGGCTCATGCTTGTAATCCTAGCTATTCAGGAGGCTGAGGCAGGGAATCGCTTGAACCCAGGAGGCGGAGGTTGCAGTGAGCCAAGTTCGTGCCATTGCACTCCAGCCTGGGTCACAGAGCAAGACTTTGTCTCAAAAAAATAAAAAATAAAACTTAAACAAAGAAATTTAAAAATAAGGTGAAGATTGAAGTTTATCTACGATCCAGCACATTCTGCTCCATATATACCTTCAACCCAAAAAAGAAAATTCTGCAAAATGCAAATCCCTAACCAATTTGTCTCTATTTTCCTCAGGGGACACTTAAACTGGCTTCAACTAGATCGAAGAGTATTGGAACATGACTTCCCTAAAAAGTCGGGACCTGTGGTTTTATACTTTTGTGTCAGGTATGTACACCTGGTGTCTATACTTTTGCTTCTTTGTGTTCTTTATCAGAAAAGTCTGGGAGGGCAGAGTGATTCCGTGGAATGAGAGCTCAAGTTTGTCTTGGTTCATCACCAGGGATAAAGGTTGTAGTAGAGCTGCGTGCCTCATAGATGGAAACACGGGGTGTGAGGGTGCAGGGCGTGCCTGTGAGTGTGCCTGTGAGTGTGCAAGGACGTGTGTGTTATGCATTTGCACTAGGATGCTTGTGTGGAATGATGAGAAAAACTTTTTTCTGCCTTTTTGGGGAGGGTCATATATCTCAAACAATGAGTCTCTTATAGCACAGGCCGTGGGATTCTTTCTTGGGTGCAATTTGAAACTACATAACAAAAGCCTTTGTATCCTTTCCTTTCAGAAGGGATGCCACTTGAATCTCGTGAAACTTGGGTAGTTTATCCCAAATAGGAGTAGTCGAAACCCAGCAGCAAACCACAGGCCCATCTGCATTTCCTGCCAAGGGAGGATACAGTTTAATAACATATCAGAAACAATAGGCATTTTTCTATTCATAAATCTAGTCTCAGAAATTTTGTTTTGTGCTTGCAAAGGGAACTATTTGTGGGCTATAGTGATTTAAATAGTTACTATTTGCAGCAGTCTTATGAAGACAACAGGACTTACTACTTCTGTTTGCAAAAGGTTCTGAGAAGCCGGAGGCTGGGCAGGTCAGGGGTTCAGGGGCAAAGTCTGAATTGGTAGCAAAGTCAGAATCTGAGCCCCCAATCCAGCAGCTCCTAAACACTCAGTCTGTGGAGCCACCAGGTTCTTTCTCTCCAGAACCTTGACTAACACAAGTACAGAAGCATTAAGTCCTGATGCCTCAGTCTTTACATGGACACTAACACTAAACACCCAGGCCATACACTCTGTTCTTTTAAAATATACTAACAGAAATTCAGGAGCGAGACACGAATGATATGCAATTGTGTCGTTCCTAAAGAGCACGATCAGGAATGCAGTTTCAGACATAGACATCCTTAAGCTGCACAAGGCATTAGAAGAGCTTCAAACAAGAGTTAAAGGGTCCACTTAGCAGGCTCGAATGTATGACTTTTCCTTAGCTGGCAGAGTAAATTTCAACTTGCGCTTAATGCGTTTTTGATTTGTTTAACAGCTGTGAACATATCCAAGCTCATCTTAGCTATTTCTATTATTGGTGGGAATGATTTCAATGCCATATTCTCTTTAAGGGTGTATACAGTTTCTCAGATTTATGGCAAAGCAACCATATAAAGCAAATAGTAACAATTCCGCTGGGAGGGACAGGTGGTATCAGGCAGGACTCCAGTTTCATAGAAGCAGGTCATTAACCTGTCATCGCAGGTGGATGAGTGCATTTACCATATATCAGGCTCTCCCCACCTCCCTGGTGATGTTCACCAACATTAGCCAAGAGGAGAAAATCTTGGGCTTGGCTGCCTAGTAGGTGTTTTTTTCCAATTTGTGGGGGTCCTTGCAGGAGAGCTTGGGGCACCTTGACATTGATGCTGGATGTGTCATTCTCTAAGATACACAGGTCTTTCCAAATCACTCCAAGCCTGTCTTCTCTGCATAAAAGCAGGTAACCCAGCATTGCAGAAGTGAAATAGTTGCTAGCAATAGAGAGAATTGGGGAATGGGATGGCCAAAGACCGAAATATAACATCCACTTCTGATCCACAGCCATGACAGACACTTCCACCATCACCACCCTTTTTTCTAGTCGGCCAAAGCAGGAACCTCAAAGAACATTCATTCGAGAGAAAAGTTTCCAAATCCGCATTTAGGGACCGCCATTCTCCACTATGTCTTTATACACGCCACCTAGCAGAATGCGCTCCTCCTTCTTCAGCTCCTGTGGAAGCAAATTTTTCTGGAAATGTCACATTCCAGTTGCCTCCTGCAGCCCCACCTGAGTACTCCAAACTCAGCAGGTTCAAAGTCAAATTTATGACCTTCTCTCTCCTCCCTTAACCTTCCATGGTCCCATCAAATCTGTGGCATCGTCATCTACTCAGTAACGTAGGCTACACATCTTGAAGTCTCCTGTCCTCTTCCTGGAATTTTTTATTTATTTCTTTATTTATTTATTTTGAGATGGATTCTCTCTCTGGTGCCCAGGCTGGACTGCAATGGCATGATCTCGGCTCCCTGCAACCTCCACCTCCCAAGTTCAAGAGATTCTCCTGCCTCAGCCTCCTGAGCAGCTGGGATTATAGGCACCCACCACCACACCCAGCTAATTTTTGTATTTTTAGTAGAGATGGTGTTTCACCATGTTGGTCAGGCTGGTCTGGAATTCCTGACTTCCGGTGATCCATCCACCTTGGCCTCCCAGCCTAGAATTTTTATGCGTATTAATTCTCTGCTGCTGCTTCCAAAATCTCCCTCTGCACTGCCCTCTCCTCCTCATTGCCTGAACTCAGGCCCTCACCAGTCAGGTGACCTATTGCAGCAGCCTCCAAGGGTGGGGTGGGGGGTGTCACCAGCACCCTCACTACCCTGAGTTCCCACTTCTTAGCTGGCCGAGAAGTGCAGTAACAAAACACCAATCGTTTGTTTTCTCCAAGAGAGGAGGCAGATTCTCTATATAGGTGAATTCCATCTCTTTACCTTGCTTTTCATCCTGGGAAGAATCCTCTATTTATAACCTGACATCTGCCTAGCGATGCTCACAGGCAGTTTTCTGCAAAGGAGTGGTAAGAGAATCATCTTCATCAAAAGCCCAGAACTTGGAATAGACTTGAGTCCGTAAAAGAGCTTTTCTCCAGCTGGGTACCTTTCCAGTGTGTTTCTGAACAGAAGCATGGTTGGACTCTGAGCAGCCTCCAGCCTCCGGCCGTGACACCTGCATATCTTAATACAGTCTGACTCCCAGGTTCCTCAAATCCTTTCTCCTTTGGTATAAATGTCTGTATATTACATCTACATACCACATGTCTAGGTAGCCTTCGTGACAAAGCAGAATCGAACCACCTGATAAAAGAGGGCCACGGTAGGCTGAGCATGGTGGTTCATGCCTGTACTTTGCGAGGGCAAAGTGGGCGGATCACCTGAAGTTAGGAGGTCGAGACCAGCCCGGCCAACATGGTGAAACCCCATCTCTACTAAAAATACAAAAATTAGCCAGTAATGGTGGTGCGTGCCTGTAGTCCCAGCTACTTGGAAGGCTGAGGCAGGAGAATCACTTGAACCTGGGAGGCAGAGGTTGCAATGAGCGGAGATTGTGCCACTGCACTCCAGCCTGGGCAACAGAGCAAGACCCCGTCTCACACACACACACAAAGAAACAGAGGGTCATGGACAAGATAACTAAGTACCCGAAGGTATGTTTTAGAAAGTCAGAGAATGGAGGTATTAACACTGTATGACTGAGTACCCCAGGGTGAGCTATTATTTGGGATTTATATATTATTCTGATATAATACATACACAGAACACCAGGCTGAACCATCCCCTCCATTCAACAGATTAGGAAATATAAGACCCAAATATATTAAATAATGCGAATTGGAACTCAGAATCCCTCTCCATCCGCTAGGCCAGGCAGCGTCTCTTCTATAAGCATTTCCTCTGCAGAGGCCCTGTGGCCAGTATCAGGCTGCAGGATGTTTTCGGGATGGTGGAAGGGAGGACTCAGATCCTGCCTTCGTTGACCTGTCATTCAGCCTAAGAGGGGCCTGGTCCCTCCAGTTTTTCATCCAACAAATCACCAGGAGTGATCCCTGGTGGCTTCAGGGTCTCAATATAATTACCCAAAAAGGATAAAGGTCAGAGAGACAGGAACTATCCATTATTCAGCACCTGTCCATTGCTAAGGCTGATTGTTAATCTTCGCAGCAACCCTGGAAGCAAGTCTGATTATTCCTAATTAAAGAGAGGGAGATGGGGGCCCAGGATGGTCTGTAAATTCTTCCCCAGCATGGCTAACAAGTTACAAAGGCAAGATGGGTATCTCATCTGTTTGGTCAGGTGTGACTCCAAGTCTTGTGTCTGTCCTCCCCTACTGCAGGCCGTCCGTCTCCACAGGGGAAAAGTGACACCCTCCTCCCATGTGGCATTTCCAAGAGATCCTGTGTATCCCTTCAGTGTGGTAGCCTGCCAAGACCTGTGGCCAGAGTTCTCCACTGCTCCCTGTGTAGGCAGAGCCAGGAGCAGCCAAGTCAAAGGCGGTGACCCCAGCCCTCCTTGTGACCCACTCTTGGCCATGTTTGCAGAACCAGCGTCCACCTGTAAAGATGGTGTTCAGGACAGGTGCACACCACCACGAGTGGCAGGCTGCCACTCTGAAGGGATACACTGGATATCTTGGAAATGCCACATTGGAGGAGGAAGAGCCATCTCAAATGGTAAACCAAGAATTTTCAGGACCTGAGACATTTGCTATTGGTCCCACTAGAGAAGGTCTTGCCATTTTCTGCATTTTCTGACACCGTGGACACCCGCGGAAAGGTGTTCTTTGTTGCACTGTGCTTTTCTGTCTCCTAGAGAGAAAACTTCAGGGTCCACTTGCACCTTGTCATCACCCTGAGCTGTGTCACTCCCGAGACTTACAAGCCCAAGTCCACCATCATCCCAGCTGTAGCATGCAGCAGCTTTCTCACTGCTCCTCCTGTGCTGTTTCTGCGCCATCAGCCACGCCTTCATTTATGGGCTCACAGATGTCCCTTGAGATGTCCCTTGGCGTAAGCACTGCTCTAGGAGCCAAGGACAGAGCAGTGAACAAAACTGATAGACCCTGTCCTCAGGCAATTTCATATCCATTTCCTCCAGCTTCTGAGATCCTATCAGCCCTGCCTGTCCTTTTTTTTTTTACCAATTCAATGCAAATCCATTGTGCACCCTTCCAACTACTTCCTGACCCTGGGCCACACCTCCCTTGGCTGCTCACGCTTTCTCTGTCTCTCCCTTTCTCTCTCTCATGCACACACCCACCCCCAGGGTTGGACTGGTCCTACCACACACACACCTTTTATTTCTA